AGCAGGAAGATAAAAAAATGGTGAGTGCCTTTTCATTAGGATTTACTTTCCATAATGTGAGATAGACTTGTGCAATCTATTTTTTTAAAAAACACACAAAACACACAAAAGGATCTCATTAAACCGAGAAGATTGCCTTGTGTACATGAAGTTGTTTTAAGAGGTGTTTCCTGATGATGCTCTTTATAAACTATAGAGAATAAATCTCAACAAGCTAAAAGACATCTAATGAAAAATAGCGTGGTCTTTTATGCTGGTGTGGATTGCATATTTTACATGCAATTTATACTGCAGTTTCTCTTCATTAACCACATCTCACAGATTTTTCAAAGTGACGGCATGAATATTATTAACATGTGTTTAAAATGTGTTTAAAATAATGTATAAAGCTTTGTGATTAAAGCAAAAGTTTAGGCGTAATGAACAAGTCTGGGTATGTATTTTATACTGCTGGGTGCATACATATTTAACATCTATATGGATGTGCTGTATCAGAGTATGTCTGTGTGTAGGCTCAGTTATATATTTCCTTCGAGCGAATGTTGTAATTAAACTGAACCAGACCTTAACAAGCATAACCCATTCATAATTTCTGCTCATTCTTGTTATATATGTTGCAGTTAGTAAATGCAAAGCTATTTAATTTTACTTGAAATGGAACCTGTACAACTCACTGCCACTTCACCTGCCTTTATTTATGCTTCTAACAAAATTGTCAACTTCACAACTTGGGAAATAATTGATTTATATCATGCTAGCTCCAACTAGGAAACCATTTTTTTTCTGTTGTAAAATGCTATAATATTTACAAAATTGACAAATGGCTAAGTGTAAAGATTAGAGCCGCACTGATTTTATCAGTGTACCTAAAATTCCATTACTATCTCCCATACAGTTCTGGAAGCTTTCTCAACCCTTTGCTCCTTTATTTTATTTTATTTTATTCATTTCATTTCATTTTTTGCTTTCTGGCAAGGGACATAATGAACTGCAAGGGGAAGGAGAAACTGGCAAGAATCACATTGTTCCCCTTTTGTCATTGGGTTTGCCCCAGGAACAGAATTTAGCTCATGGGATCAGTGGATCCAACACATTGCCATACACCGATGGTAAATGACACAAAAGGGGCAGTTAAATGCATGCAAAAAAATTGCCCCTGAAGGTAATTATGGCTAACCACCAACTTTAGGATGCTAGCTTGAATTCATGCAAGTGAAAGTGAAGCTTCAGCTGTCTAAACTATAAAACTGCCTTTTGCAATATGTTGCTCACATCAGCCCCAACCAGCACGCCCAAAGGGATTATGGGAGTTGTAGGCCAAAATCTCTGGAAGGTGCTATGCTGTGGGAGGTTGCTGTGGAATGAGAGAGGAAAGAAATTTCCTTCCCCAAATTTCCTTCCTTTTCTACTGTAAATATTGATGCTCAATATTGATCGGGTATTTTCTGAATATTTGCCAGTTATCCATCTGCAAAATATTTAGACCACAGTCTTCATATTTTATATCCATCAAGCTAGGCTATTCTTTTTCATGATAAACAAACTGCTTGATTTGTATAGTAAAATTGCAGGGCTCACATAATGTTGGTCGCAAAGCATATTGTTTAAAATTAAATTTTAAAAATGGGGGAGGAATAATGGTGTCTAGCATTAGCTGGATTTTTCAGAAACCCTGAAAAAACAGTTCCTGTTTTAGTGTTGCTATTTTTGTGCCTATATACCGTGATTCCTGGTTCTATGAACAATTGTACACAATGTGGATGATAATAATAATAATAAAGATAATAAAAATAAAGGAATAATTAAAGGACAGCTCTTTTGATTATCGTATTTATTGTTCAATTCTTCGTTAAATAGGAACTGAATAATTAGATACAGGCCAGGATTCAACTAATGACTCTCGTCAGCAGAAGTTCTGCACGAAGACTTCTGCTTCCACTATGGAGTTCCCCCCATTCTCTTCTGCCACAAAATTGGCTCTGGGGGCATCAAGAGAAACCCCTGGAACAGCTACATGTGGGGAGGAGAGGGGAAATCATTCCACGTAAACATGTTTAAATACTTGCACTGACAGAATGATCAGAAGAGTGTGGGGTTGAATTTCTCCCATGGTGTTTATCTAAAACAAAATGCAGTAATTAGAGGCAGATTGCACCTTTCACAAAGATCCAAGCTTTTCCAGTTGGGAATCTCCAAGTCAATTCGTCGCTTTACCCCCACAGTATGAAGTCATTCTACATAGTCCTGGCATGTTTCCTGTTGATCTTCTGCCAGAGGGAAAACTCTCCATTTTATCCCATTTTTAAAGCAGCAAAGGTATCTTTGTTAGTAAGCCTGCATGCATAACTAAGACACATGTCGCAGAAAACGGAAAGTGAAGTTTCCCTTTCCTTTGCCTTTACCTCAGAGACTTGCACTCCGCCGCCCATACTCCAGTGTCTTTGTCTTTGGCAAGTAAAACAGAGCAGCAACATCTGCCCCTTTAGTCCAGAATATGTTAATCAACAAGAAGACAGCTACTAAAAATAGCTATTCCATCTTTCTTTTCACTAGCCAGACTTACAGTCTTTTAAGGACTGAACATAGTCCTACATTTCTAGCACTCTTAAAGTTAACGGCGGCTTTCCCCCACTCCCTGCCCCCCAGGGAAAAGCTAACTTCATTTATAAAATATATTTGATTTCCTCTTTTTCTAATCTCTCTGCAGTCTTTTTTTGCACTGCTGCGTGCTTTAATTTTGCTTTCAGACAGAAGTTTAAAAACTTTAGCTTCTAATAACTGGAAAAAATGGTTATTTAAAGATAACTGCAACTTGCTTAACATGCCAGACTATCATATGCTCGTTGCTTTGAAGCTGCAAATTAATGACGAGCAGGAACAGTGCCTATCTTTCAGAGGAAACTGACCTCTTTCTAATGCCTCATCGCTAATGTCATCTGTCTGCTGCATCTCATTATGTGAATTTCACGGAGTTAAAAAAAAAAAGAGGGGGGGAGAGTATCTTAAGGCTGTGCACAAATAAAAAGGACCTTCTAGTATTGAGTACTTTGAAAATTTTTGATCTCTCCAAATACCTTCCTTAGATACTGGTTTCCCCTTTTGTGCCTGGCATGCTGCTTATGTCATCTATTCTCTGTGACTAATTATGTTAATTTTTGTGGCACAAAAGTAACTGAAGGCTGTTAAGGAATAAAAGCTTTTGAGTGGCCTTATTTCATAAACACCCCTTTTGAACAAGGCACATTTAGTCATATTTGCAGTAACAGAAAGAGTCTTGTGCTAAAAATACAACAAAAGGCTCTTGAATATGGCCATTTATTCTGACTTTATTAGGTAATTTATGAAAAAAGTATGAAGGGAAGCCTTTCTGCTAACTATAATTTGCATAAAGCTGGTGCCCTATTAATGAGATAACTTCCTGTCTTTTGTGTATCACCAGCTGGAAATAGAAATATAGGAACTTTTCTGTCTTCCAATTACTTAACCTGCTGAGTTGAGAGTTGAAGAGTAAACAGGATTCACAGAAGTCGAATAAGATGATTTCCTTTGCCCTCTAGGAAATATTTTTATTCAATTAAGAGATGCCAATGGAAAATGCCATCTCCTAAAAATGTTTAGGTCTGAAAGCCTGAATCCAACAATTCATATATATTTTTATCCCAGATTAAAAATAAAGTTCTTAATGGGATTTTACTCACATATGATAAAATTACTGAATATCTAAAATATGGCAATATATATTGGAGATGTATTTAATCCTCTGTCAATACTCTCTCTCTCTCTCTTTCTTTCTTTCTTTCTTTCTTTCTTTCTTTCTTTCTCTCTCTCTCTCTCTTTACTCTGAAGTATGTCCCATTGATTTCAATGAAGCTGACTCTGAGGTAAGTGGGTATAGGACTGCCACACTGCCACTAAACCCTGAATTCGTTGGCAGACCCCATTTCATTGCATTTGATCCAGTAAACAACAAATGAGTCCCACTTGCTTAATGGGCTTTTTTTGCCAACTTTCCTCCCTCAGCAGCCGCATATGCCCCTGGAAAGCTGTTGCTGGTGTTTAGGCCCAGAAGAATATCTGGAAAGGAGTTGCTATGTGGTATAAGTAGCTAGAGTGGAAAAGGAAGAACTAGTCAAAATAGAAGACACCCTCCCCTTCACAAGTGTGTTTCATTCCCAAAAGGGGTTCACTGATTCCTAGTCCTTTCCACTATGTTTACCAGCTATGCTGCCATATTTCAGAACCCATTTCTAAGTGCCACTGAATCAAACTATTGTTCAGTTTCCCGATTTACCTGTTGCAACCCACAGCTGCAATATGAAATAATTGTTAATATTAGATGGCTTTGTTTTGGAGAGTGCTGTATTTGGCTCCCCGCTTGCATTTATAGGTCTACTATGTTACAACTAGGGATGCTGGTGGCACTGTGGTGTGAACCACTGAGCCTTGGGCTTGCCAACTGGAAGGTCAGTGGTTCGAATCCCTGCGACAGGGTGAGCTCCCGTTGTTTGGTCCCTGCTCCTGCCAGCCTAGCAGTTCGAAAGCACATCAAAGTGCAAGTAGATAAATAGGTACCGCTCCGGCAGGAAGGTAAATGGTGTTTCTGTGCACTGCTCTGGTTACACCAGAAGCGGCTTAGTCATGCTGGCCACATGACCCAGAAAAACTGTCTGCAGAAGCGGACAAATGCCGGCTCCCTCCGCCTTTAAAGTGAGATGAGTGTGGCAACCCCAGAGTTGTTCGCAACTGGACTTTATTGTCAGGGGTCCTTTACTTTTACTTTTATGTTACAACTAACATCTAATACTAGTGCAAAAGTAGACAAAGAAACAAAAAAGTTCAATAGGACTATCATGCCAGAATAAAATAAAGGTTGGCCTATGATAAACAAATAAGCAAATATGGACATTTCTGATGCCAGTTAATACACTAGCATGTTGTCCTTTATAGATTAGGTCCCAGCTTCATGCTTTCCTTCGTGCCACATCCTTCATTGTGTCTACCTATAAATGATTTGATTAGCTGAAAAGGGGCCAGTCTTTTAGGAGCTTCAGCTTCTGTTGGAGCATCCTCGAAATATTTTATTCACTTTCTGCTGGATGCCTGCCCATAGCCATAATGTAAAACAAGTGATGGTTTAAAAGGGGTAGCCTCAGCCCTGGATTCATACTGTCCAAATCCAACTTTCTGTTTTTCATTAACATATATATTAAATAAATGTCAACCTACACTTCAATAATATAGAGTGGGAGGGGCACAGGCTCCTGTTATTAAACTTAGAGTTGAGTGTTTGCATTTTCTTGCATTAAAATGTGATATGTTGGCAAAAACTTAGGCGCAGGTAGACCATGCCTAGCTGTAAACGTGAGGGCAGGACATGACTGCTATATCATCCAGAAGTATTGTTCTTCCAAGCAGAAAGGACATATCAGGAGACATGGGATAGCAAGGTAGAGGGGATTCAACATGTTGGAAGTGGATGCTATCCATCTAAGAAGCAAACCAGAAAAAGGTAAATGGAAGCATGTCTAGAAGTAGGACAGTATATGAATAAGCATTTATGACAGTGAAAGGAGACTGCAGATGATATATCTAGCCCATATTGGAATCTTGTTCCTATCTTGCTAGTAGATCAGAAGAGACTGACAAGTGAGGCAGCAGATGTATACTCTTGTGGGGAATGTGGGATGATGTTGCAGTGTCCAATTGGCTACCATGGTTCATGGCTTCTTGAATTCAGTGAAAATGATTTGACTAGGTGTGAGATGAAAAAGGGTTATTTTTTCCCCAGATATTGTATTTCCATGAAGAGACAAGTGAGGGAAATCAGTGATCCAATTGGTTAGAATCACCCATGCAGGAAACATCTCATTGGCTTTGTTGCCCTCAAGAACAATGACACATAACAACCTCTACCCAGCACTATGATGTCACCTCATTCACTTTGTGATCTCTGATTGGTTGGAATTACTCTTGGAAGTAGTAGGGGAAGAGAAAACCTTCCTAGGGACCCAGTCAAGTTGAGAGAGAAAGAGAGATAGAGAGAGAGAGAGAGAGAGAAATGGCATCAGTCCATTTACTGTTCGGGGAACCTATTTTGCCACCTTCAGGAAAGCACTGTTTTTGGTGTGAAAATTGAAACAGATGAATATAGTCCTATTGAGAATCTAAATTTTATTTAGCTAAAGACCACTAAAGTAAAACAATGGGAAGTGGTAAAAGCGATGGAGAGTTTTAGCCTTTTCACCACTCTCTACTCTAATTCCCCACCCCCACCTTCCAGTTTCTTTCACCCTTTCCTCACCCCTGTTTCCCACATGGAAAATGTGCCATACAGTTAGCTCACCACAAGATTGTTTCCCTGTGTGGATCTCCTGGAAGCAATTCTGAACTCAGTTGGAAAGGTTTTGGACATAAAGGGGAGCTGGGTCAGTACAAGACACATCCACATCCAGGACTTAAGTTCTCATGTTTTCCACAATTGTTCTTCAGTTACGAAAAATTATTTGTTCTTTACCAGCCTCCTCCTAAAGAAGTCGACACACAGTACCAGAAATGGGAAGCACAAATTTCTGCAGCACCTGGGAGAAATGAAGTCAAAATGGGAATCTCAGTGCAAGTAAAACACCCACCAGCACTTAGGCATTGGCAATAGGACACAAGCCTGGAAAAGATTCAGGAATAGTCAAACCTGGAGGGAAGATGAGTTAAAATTGCTTCCGCTTCTGACTGCAGCAAAAGCCTTTATATAATATGTTCCACAATAAAGGAAGGATGAAGAAGGTTTTGAGAAAGTAATGCAGGTTAGCATTACTGAGTAAGTTTAACAGTTAAGGAATAAGAGGAGAGATCCTCTTGTGTGTCAAGAAATTGGTTAAGTCATAGGAAGCAAAGAGTAGGAAGAAGTAGACCGTTCTTCAGATGGAGGGAAATATAATATGGAGTTCCCCAAGGATCAGTATTGGGACCATGGTTTTTAACTTATTCATAAATGGTCTAGAGCAGGACTTCACAAACTTAGGTCTCCAGCTGTTGTTAGACCCAACATCCCTAGCTAGCAGTGGTCCCAGTGGTCAGGGATTATGGGAACTATACTCCAAAACAGCTGGAAACTCATGTATTCCTGGTCTAGAGTGAGGAGTGAGCAGTGAAGTAGCCATGTTTGCTGATGATATTGACTTGATCCTGGTTATCAAAACAAAAAGAGATTGTGAAGTGCTTCAAAGGAACCTCTCCAAACTAAGTGAATGGTAAAGTGGCAAATGCAATTCAGTGTAGACAGGTGTAAAGTGATGCATATTGGGTCAAACAAAACAAAACCTTAATATCACGCATGAGGTCTGAACTGGCAGTGACTGACCAGGCATGAGACATTGAGTGTCCTTTGTTGGTCCAGTAGGTAACATGGCTTTTCTGCCCAGAAACACATGGGAAGGACCTCTTTGTCGTAGCTAAACTTTTGGATTAGGATTGGCTGAGTGCTGCAGAGACCTGATTGGCCAGATAACAGTGGATGGACAGGAATGTTTGCAGAGTTTCTTTGAGTACAAATGGAAGTGTAAAAGGTGAGTGGAATGGAAAAGAATATGTGGCATTGGAAATTTGGGAGATTTGAAAATGTGGGGGCTTTGCTTGACATTCTCTTTGGGGGAGCTATGCCACAGTAGTGGACCAGCCTTCATTGCTGACAAGACTGACAAATCTGTAAGTATCAAGTTATCTCATTTTATTTAACAAAATTTCCAATATCCAGTTTGCCCTATCTTTTGATCAGTTTGTAATCCTTAAAAAAGGTCAGCAAGAAAAAAACCAAAAGCATTTTGTGCACTTATCCTAATATACATATTTCTCCAAGCATTTCCCCCTGAAATAATACATTTTAACACTATTTTATCTTAATATGTGCATTTCTAGGTACACAATCTTTCTATATGTTTCCTGTACACACTTTTTGAGGTGAGAACTGCATCACAAAAATCAGAGAAGCGCACAATTTGAAGGACAGCTGTGTTTCTGTTTGCTTATTGATCCTGTAAATGTGAAATGCAAACTGAAAAAAGTTATTCCCCCATCCCTGATTGGCCTTTTGTACACAGGACCACTCAAGACAGGTGCAATAACCCAGAAAACAACAGTGCTATAGGAGTGCTACAGTAGTTGCCTCATATTTGGGTTAAATATGCAGAACTGCAGCAAAGGAAGAAGCACATGTAGAGCACAGAGTTGCCCAGGAAGAAGGACTGGTTGTTAAACCACACTGAAAATTGTAGCTCTTTGAAGGGAATAGGGGGTCACCTAACAACTCTCAGCATCCTTTACAAACTACAGCTCCCAGAATTCCATGACTGTTTAATGTGGTGTCATAGCTCTTTAAATGTATAGTGTGACTGTGACCAATGGGAGGAGCAGATAAGAAAGTGTGAATTAGGAAACGACAGCTGGAAAGTAGAGTGGCTGTGGGAGACAAGAGAGAAAGGGGAATTAATTAAGAGGGATAATAAAAATATATGTAAGAAAGTTGGGGTAGCTGCAAACCATCCTGTGAGCCTCGGATGAAGGGTGGTATAGAAATTTAAATGAATAAATACATTATGAAATTTAGGATAGTCAGTTCTGTTAATTTGGGAAAATAGAACTTTAGGAACTCTTTATAAAAGGACTACTTGTTCTGATGTAATGGCTGGAGTGTTAGACTAGGACCTGGGAGACCAGGATTCGAATTTCTACTCACCCATGTAGCTCACTGGGTGACCTTGGGTCAATCACTGTCTCTCAGGCTAACCTACCTCACAGGGTTGTTATGAGTATAAAACTGGGAGGGAAGAATCATGAAAACTACCTTGAGCTCCTTGGAGGAAAAGGTGGGGTGTAAATACAAGAAAACAAATAAACTGTGCTCCTATTTTAACTGTCTGATCTGGGTAGATTCTAAGGTTAATATACCTTACTGTGTCTTATGCAGGTGTATTTGATGCAAAATGTAAAGGGGGGGGGGAAATATTAACTTCTCTAAAGTTAATAGAAGGCTACATATTTGGGCAGGGGGGAAGAGATCATTAATCAAAAGAACTTATTTATATAAGTCAGAAGGTGAAGGTGGAATGTCGGAGCATCTCCAACCTTCATTTATATTACAAGGCAAATCAATTAAGGCAAATCCAGCCATTAGTAAAGAAAGAAAATGTTAAAATGATAGTTAAGATGGAATCCCAGTAGTGACAGCTTTTTTCCTTAATAAAAATCTTAAGGACCTAGAATGGGCACAAAGTCCCTTCTTAAAAACTACAATTACAATTTTCAAATCTAGATGGAAGTTACTGATCCAGTTTCTACTTGCTCCTTTTTTTTAATCATCCACTTTTCTTTACTAAGAATAGAAACCAGGATTTTTTTCCCCAATGGTCAGTAAAGGGATTATATAGGATTAGGGATTTCTACAATAATGGCCAGCCTAAAACAGAAGAAGAAATCAGAGAATTTTTAAAAGAACAAGAGCACTGTGGGTTTGAATTTAGGCAAATTAGTTCCTTTATAGTAAAATATATTATTAAACAGCAAGTGAAAAGAGAATTAACACTGTTTGAACACCTGATCCTGCACATAATTTAATGCCAAAGGACAGATCACCCAAATTTCTAAAATATTAACAAAATTAGACACAGGTGATCTAACAGGATTACAAAAATCACAGGAAAAGGATTTGGGTTACAACTTGGGTCCCAGAAAATGGGAAGGAATATGGAACATGAGGCCTGTGAAATCAATTTCAGCAATGGTTCAAGAATCTATTCTTAAATCACATTTAGGTGGCAGTATGCACCACTTATCCTATATAAACACCAATCTCTACCACAAATGCTGGCACTTGGCACTTTAAAAATCATACAGGTACTTATGGTGGGAGTATCATTCAGCGGCAGCTTTTGGGGACATATTGCTACTAAAAATTAATTTAACAGCAAAGTAAGAATTGTTTGCATTACTGGGGAGATGGGATGGCCCAAATGGTGTCAGTTTGGATAAAGGACTGATTATATATTGCATAGTCAAATCTTGTCTATAGCTATTGCGGAAAAATTAATTCAAAAATTGAGGTATACAAGAGGACCAAAAAAGTAAATACCGTATTTTTTGCACCATAACACTCACTTTTTTCCTCCTAAAAAGTAAGGGGAAATGTCTGTGCGTGTTATGGAGGGAATGCCTACGGGTGGCATGCCTACGGATTTTCCTCCTCTAAAAACTACGTGCGTGTTATGGTCGGGTGCTTGTTATAGAGCGAAAAATACGGTACATTTTCAACTACAGGGCAAACATTTATAATATCTAAATGATGCTGACAATATTCAAATGCCTCCTGCGAAAGATACTACTATTTTGAATTCTTGGTAATTTGAGGGCTTCAGGTAAGAATATCATAACACTGAGGATGGCATTCTGAAATCTATAACTAAGAAAACATTTTGAAAAAGAGGACATGTTACTACCATCCAAAATAAATAATTCTTCCCAGGGCTTGTGAATGTCAAAATTGGTATCCTTTTTTGTTTTTGTTTTGTGCACATTGTTCAATAAATTGTATTGTTTCCACTTTATTTCTTTATTTTTGATTAAATAAAAAGAAATATCCCCAGCAGACACTGGTGGAGGAAGAGGAGTGGGGGGGGGGGAGTGCACTGCCCCTGGCAATGCGATCCTGGTGGGGTGCCATTGCAGCTTCCCCCCTGCCAGCACTGGGTGCCACGCCCCTGCAGGTGGCACACCATGCCCCCAGAACGCATGCCATGTCCCTGCAGGTGGCCCGCCATGCCCCCATGCCACATGCCTGTGGACAGCACGCCCCATCCCCAGACTGGGCACCAGCCCCGCCCCTGCCTGCATTCCGTCCCCCAGTGCTGGAGCATGAAGCTCTGCCACTGCCAGCAGAATAACTGAGAGATTAACCTATTGACGTCCAGGGGACTAGGGCTTTGTATAGGACCTTAAATGCCCCCTAGCTGTGAACCCACTCCCTCAGAGAGAGTGTAACCCCATCAAGAGCAGACCACCTCTCATCTATCTGGTTTAGGGAACTAGTTTGTTGGCTCTCATCTCACCAAAGTAAGATATCAATTCAGCACATCCGCTGCCACACCTGCAGATGTAAAGGAGAAGTAGAGCTGTGTGTCATCAGCATATTGCTGAGAAATATTCCAAACTTCTGGATAACATCACTCAGTGGTTCCATGTAGATGTTAAACAGCATTGGAGAGATGGTGGAAAAATTGAACCAACCCTGAAGCTTCCATGGAGCTGAAGAGCAAGCATCACCCTCTGCAAACAACCGCCCATGTAGGACAAGAACCACCAAACAGAAGTGCCACCCACGCCTAACTTGGAACAGGCACTCCAGAAGGATACTATCATTGATGGTCTCAAAAGCCACTGAGAGGCTGAGGAAAATTAACAAGGATACATTTCCCCTGTCTCTCTCCCAACATAGGTCATCATACAGGACAACCAAAGCAGTTTCTGTGCCAAACCCAGACCTAAACCCTGATTAAAATAGTTCTAGAAAATCTTTCTTCCAAGAGCACTTGGATCAGGTTTGCAATCACCCAGTGGCCCACCCACTGATTTGTAACCACCCAGACTTCCCACTTCTGCCCATTGCACTCTGCTAATGGAAATACCACCACCATGACTTCTGCCCACTCAATAGGCAGAACAGAATCAGGGCATTCTGAAGATGGGGAACAAGTGAGGCTAAGCTGGCCAAGGATCTACTAGATCCCAGATGACATAAGGGACCAACTGCCTGCCCCTGACTTTCTGCTGCTGATGTGGTAGCAATGGCAGCAGCAGCAGGAGGATGGATTTAAGATGACTCTTCCAGTCATACTGGTATATAACAGCGAAAATGCTGGGAAAAGGTGAGAGGAAATTGAGAACCGGTAATTTATGTATTTTATATGCTACCCATTTCCTGCATGTTAATTAGTTGCAATAACAATTACAACATATAGGTTTTCAATTTTACCAAGGGGTATAATCCCCTAGGGGTATAATCTACCCCTGGCCATGCAGTCCACTTGCCTTTTTCACTACACATTATTTTATGATAAAAGGAATGTGAAGGTGTTTATGAAATTAATGGCTTTCTCTTTGGCTTTCTGAGTGCATCAAATGACCCAAAGCAAGTTTTCCTATTTGGACAACAATCCAATACAGGATTAGGTGTGCTGGATTATAAATTAAGTGCTCAGAATTTTCAAAAACCGAGGCTGGTTAAGTATTGAGCAAAATACTGAGGAATAACAGACATTGCAAAACAATGCATGACCCCAACTACTGTACTATCATATTCATAAAGGTTGTTCACCAAAGTCTTGTACTTTCTACTTTGTTTTTTTACTTTTCTTTCACACAGAAAAAGCAGGCTTTAATGCAATGCATTTGATAGATGAGGGTGAAGTCAATTTTAAAAGGTAAGTGTAGCATTTAGCATGTTTGTTTATGTTAAATCCTTTTTTTAGGTTAAATCACAGTATTTTTTACCAGTCAGAATATATAATTATATATGATATAAATAATAATCTTGCTTTATTTCTTATCATCACCTTTTATCCGATGTGAGCTGGACCATAGAGGCCCAGATCCTGCTAAGAAGAATAGTAGTAGTTTGAAATCAGTGTATTGTAGCATTCAGGATTCCTCCTCCAAATTGCTTGATTAGACGTATGCTCTCAGCCTCTTATTTTCCAACAGAGGGTGTATTTTGCTCAAAAATGCAGTCTGGAAAAGACTTTGCCGCTAAACCCAAGGGAACGACTGGTAAGGCCTTTTCTTGAAATTACAGTATGTTTGTAGTTTGGTGGTATAGTCTGAAAAAAAATATACTGCTTGAGTTAATCTCTGCAAAACACTAGCAATAATCTGTTTTCTGTACAGGTGTTTTACAATTAGGAGAAATGAAATTACAGTGATTGTCACCAGCTACAGGTTCTAGGGAAAAACTGAATATGGAAGAAAAGTAACAAAAAGCAGAGATGAGCAAGAATGAACAGGAGAATAAGTTACGTAAAATGGAAATACTCTCCCCCCCCCCATGAAGTATCACCAGAGCAAACTGACACCCTTGGCACTTTGCAGTAGAGTGGATTATTCATTTGGTCGATCATGCAGAGACAAAACATGCCTCTAAGGTGAACATGCAAATCTGACCACAGGCTGTGTCATTCTCAGACAATATCACACAACTGAGTTTGGTTCCTGTCTTATAATGCAATCCTTAGCATGCTGATTCCTAAGTAAAGCTCACTGGAGTAAGAGTGTTTGGAAATGCAATGCTTGAATATTTCAACAAAAATAAAATCAGAACATAGAACTTGAAATTGCCTCTAATTGGATGAATGTTTTGCAGAGAACTCTGCAATTTACACCTTGTACTAACAACTTACTGTTTTAAAATCCAAAAGGGATTGGCATTAAAAAAAAAAAAAACCCAAACACTTTTGTTCTGAGTCATAAAACGAGGATTCATTACTCTAAATGCAATATTCAGTTTTTCTTCATTTATTTCCGCACTCCTTAATTTGCAAAGCAGGTCCAATATGCAGCCTATAAAAATAGCCACAAATCACTGTAAAGTTAGTCCATAGTTATGTCTATATATAATGATCCAGGGGACTAACAAGGTAAAGCTAGATCAACAAATACATTCCACATTCTCACTGGTAACTCCAAGTCCTGTTTTTGTTGCTATTTCTCAGCCCTCACCCCCCCTCCTGCCACCCCGTCTGTTACAAGTTATGATGTGTGGATGAAGGCTTTTTCCCATGCCGTAATGACTGTATACTGAGATTTCAAGGGGCTGTTCATGACAATCCCATTTTCTGTGTAATTTCATGGTTGTCTTCTTGAATGAAGATATTGGCTGCTCTGAAGCAGGAGGTCAGATGCTCCTGCTCCCTTTCAGTATTGTTCCAGAGTATGTTTCCTTTCAGCTGATGAAAAGTAATTCATCATTTACACCCCTGAATTCTGCCAGCATTTTTTTTTTTTTGAACAACTTTTCTTTCCCCGTGGTACCTTGGGCCCATGAAAGAGATAAATAGGTTCAATACAACACCAGGCCCCAGATCCTGGGAGCAGGTTAGGCCTCTGAGGCCCTCAGCTGCCCCTTTCTCATGATAGAGTTTGTCACCTTTCTACCTCTGGAAGTCAAATCCTGTCGACTCAGCCATCTTTCAGGCTCTCTGAAGTGGCTTTGGCACCCACTGGGGCATGTGAGCTTAAAATTGATTTTTTTTTTTTAAAGATCTGTCAAGTTCCCTTAAGGGACCAAGTTGACAGCCAGCAGGCCTTAACCTATCACAAAGCACTCAGTGTGTAAAAGACACCTAAGGAACTTCCTTTGAGAGGCCAAAGGGCCCCAGACTTGTGACACATTGAGAGGGTGTTGTTGCTAAGAAACTGGCCTTTGACAATAGAATTTTTACTGCCAACCGCCTTCTTTTAGAGGCATTTTAGGCTGTCTTTTAAAGAAGACGAAAGTATGTATAAAGCATCATTCCACGCTGCTGCTGCAGCTGCTCTCGCCAGCCTTTTTATCGTGCAAATTTCCACCAAGGTGGGGCAGAAATGTTGCAGTCAAATCAATGTTGCCATCAGGATCACCTGGACAATGTGAAACACAGTACTCATGATAACGAGGCAACAATCCAACTTTGTAGCAATCCCGGCTTCTGGCTCTTTTAACTTTATGAATACCCATTAATTATGACAAATTCAAGAAGGGTAGCCAGGTTTGGTGTTTAGCAGCATAAAGACAGTGGCTTAATCCAGAGAACCGTCTTAAGACTTTCTCTTCTTCTGCCCTCTGGTAGGGAGGCTGACACTTTGGATAGCTTCTGAATGAAGCTTCTTGTCGTCTGAGGTGGGGAGGGAGGAAAGGAAGCATAGCATCCGAGTCTGGCCAATCTCTCCTTGCTGCACCCACCTTTCCTGACAGCTGATTGGTGCAGTTAGAAGGCTTTAATAAGATGTTATTCTAAGCAATGGTCTCTAATGGAAAAGATGCAGTCTCTGTCCTACCTCAGATGGCAGATAGGGAATTGCATGCTTAAATTCCCCACCACTGCCAGCAGAGGAACAATATCTACCATATCAGACTACATCAACCCTTTCCTTGATCACGCACTAAGTTTGTGTGGGAAGGACCATACTTATGTGAGGGGTTATTCTTGTGCCACTCTGCTGCAAACTGAAGAAACACAAAAAGGCATCTAAGCAACCTCATGTAATACTTAGAAGGAGATCCAAATCAAATTGTGTGTGCTTTTTTTAAAAAAGGATAATCATCAGCATTTTCATGCAAATTTCTCCCAATATACACATTTTTAATATGTGATTTCCTCCAATGTAATGCATTTTTGTATGTTATTTTCATGAATAAATTTTTTTAATGCACACTTTGCCCTAAAATAGGCATTTTTTCCACATTACTTGGTTGGAAAATTTCACTGAAAATTTCACCGGAGTGTTAATTTCAAATGATAGCTGTGGTTTAGTTTGCATACTGTTTCAAAAAGTGGGGGGGGGGATCTGGATTCACCTTTAAATGTGAATTGAATCAACATTTCTCACCCATTCCAACCTCAGGGACACCATGAAGGGATTTTTGTGAAAGAAAATGTCCACCAGGGTTCTCCATCCCCTTGAAACCTGTTAGATGGAAGCGAATTTGATGAACATCACTTATTTTTCCTCAAAAACCTATGCTTAGACACTGAGATGGCATTTCTACACTATCCAGGAGAAATGGTATGCTCAAAGACAGGATAAGGGCAGCCATTTAACAAGATGATATCCTCCCTATAGCCAATGGGAATGCCTGTGCAAATATTGTTGCCTTCTTTCTCATTCAATTGGTGCAACTGATGCCTAAATCAATTTTGACTGCTTTGGGGTAAGGACACCTCTAAGTTAATATCTGGGGGTGAGATTAGGGGTAATCAGCACCACCATCTTTCAGAGACTTCTACCAGAACCCTATTCTACCATAATGTTGTAGGTTCCCTCCTGTGTACACTTACTCATTAGGGAAACTGACCCACTTCTTCTAATATTCCCTTTTGTTAAGGCCCAGCCAAGTATTTTAAAAGCTTTGTCAATTTCTTGCCTTACCATATCTATGTTATTCCAATAATATCAGGCTTATCCTTGATACTCATAATTATCATTGGCAAGTCTTTGATGTAATAAATCCTTGATATAATATCATGCTTATCCTTGCTATAAGATATAATCAAAAATGAAAGCAGAAACTTAAGATACAGAGTAAAATATATTACTTGCCAATTTTCCACAGTAACTTTTCATCATTACTCCAAAATTACTTTTTAATGCAAAGAGTAGTTCCAATCACATCGAGGCCCACATGATTCAGATACTATCATAATCACAATTAGATTACATTACTGCAATCAGGAATGGAGATCATTAAGAGAAAGAATATAAATTGCTTTAGTTTTACAAGTACTGAGCTAGCAAAATTATAATTAATCTCCATTTATAATCTTTTCTTTCATAGAACTGCAAAGCATGCTACTTTTTTTAGGCCATCAATACAAATTAGAAGTAAGTAATAAAGCCCTAACTACTACTCTGGTGCGGTGCTCAATTGTAGAAACTTGCCTATTACATATGGAAAGCTTTGCATGCAAAGGGTGCCCTCTGCATCGGGTTCCCCCCACCCCCACCCAGAACAATAAGCTTGTCTATTACTATGGGAGGTTCTTCATTTGGAAGGGAGGAGATAGAGAGAGAGAGAGAATGCAGTTGTGACTGTTCATTTGCAGAATAATCAGTTTGTGATTCCTCTTTCCTAGACGAGTGAAGATGAAGAATAATTATTTTGTAGGCGTGACAAAACTGTCCGGAACCTACCACATACAAATGGAACAGGTTGTTATTATTTTGTAAAGGACAATTTTTTAAGGATTATTAGCCAGATATTCTAATCATGCATATATGTATTACCATGCAAAGAATATAGAAACATTATTATTAATTACCACTTTTTACAACTGCTGTGCTGAAAATTTCTCCTTCTTTTTTCATCATTATCAGTTAACAAGAAATAAAGCTGCATTCCGAATTTATCAAAAGGAAGAGAAAATTTGAGAGAAATTCTCATCGGGTTTGCATGAAGGATTCCTGTTGGGCTTACTTTTACTTCTCAGCTGGGCAACGGGTGCTTGGTTCATTCTGCAAATCTCCTCATATGTGGTCAATGTGGGAATGTTCAGGGAGGCAGGAGAGGATATATTGTTTATTAATATCCTTCCTAACTTGCACTAGCAAGTTCCTTTACATAGCAGAGTTACACATTCCCCTTTTAAAAGCACAGCGGGTAGCTGGTTGCAGGCTTGTGTAAGCCTCTCACTATCAGGTTCCTGGAAAGTTCCCTTATATCCCTCTTAAAAAAAATAAAGACGCTACAATCTTATTCATAAGCAATAAAAGAAGTTTCCTTACATCAGGCAGAGCACAGTGTGATCCCTGAAGGCAGACTTAGTTACAAATATGTACATGTGGATCTACCCATATGGAGGAATGATCCCAGCTCTTGCTGAAAGCTAGCAGAGCAGTCCTAGCTAGAAGCTGGTCAGACACAGAAGCAAGTCAAAGAGAGAGAGAGAGTGCTGTGTGCCTTGTTCCTTTTGTTACCTTGGACATGTAAGGTCACACGCACCTCTAGTCACATGCATAGGAAGTATGTCCCAGTCAGGAGAAAACAGGAAGTTTTCGACTGGCTGGACCAAACATTCCCCCGCACATCCACTATAGGAAAACAAGGAATGTTGTACTTGACTGGTACTTACATATCACACCCCACAGCTAGTATTCTTCACTGCCGCAGAGAAACACATTGTGAGGCAACTCTTCCCATGGGGCTTTTTCAGATCAAGGAGCTGGGGAGGCTGCAAAATGCTGGAGGAGAAATGCTTTCTGGAAGGCAAAACACACCATCCTCGACCACCTCCCAACTGGGCAAGTTCAAAACTATACATTGACTATAATTCTAAAAGAATTATTGAAGTCCCCAGAGATTGAGGTAGAGAAATGTATAAGGCTCTGTGACGGGGGAAGAAAACTTCCAAGAAACTGGAAGGCAGCTTTTGGTACAGCACTACTTTTTGCAAATTATTTTGCACGCTGTTCTTGCTTTAGTGGAACTTCCCATACATAAGTGGCAGGTTGCCTGTGACTCTATCCACCAGCAAATGTGTCTCTTACAGATGGATGCTGGGCAATCAAGTTTAATAAAGGACAAATAAGTCATTCGTAAAATATCATGCCATATGCTATGGAAATAATCCAAAGTGCTTTGACCAATCAGCCAATTATTTCTTACACCAGAACAGGAGAGCAAAATCTATTTGCAGATCCTTTCTAAGGGAAGTTTTCCAATACCTTGATATAACAGTTATGGGTAAGAGTGTCAGCTGCTGCTCAGGAAGTGCTTGCCTTATTCAAACATTGCAACTTCCATGAACTGAACCCACCTATATCCCAGATAATAGTAGCTAGTGTATACCTCTGAAACCAGATGTTTGGGAATTGGGGAAGAGAGGGAAAAGATGATGGAGCTGGGCTGCTAAAGGATCCACTCCACCCTAAGCCAGTCCAGCTGCTGGAAAGTTGTAGCAATGGGCCCAGTATGGACCTCTCTGCTTCACTAGCCTGTAGCTGATGCAGCAAAAGATACAGAGTTTTCCTCTCCCTGCTTCCGGCGGTGTTTTGGATGCAGTGGTGTCTGTGCAATGCCATTAAGCCCCATGCTGGCCACCAGGGATTGGATTGCACCCTAAGATTGTCCAGTTATGTAATTGTGTAGGACCAGAAAAACTGAATACTCCAGGAAAGAAGCTGGCTAAGGGATAGCATTCATTGCTCATGCAATTTCTGAAGAACCCCGAGCCTAGTTCTATGCACCCAAAGGTGTTTTGTGCTTGTTTTTCTTGAACACAGGGAACCCCAACGAAGCATGGCAAACCAATTTTGAAAAAGAGTTTTTTAAGCTATAATATCTTCCATTTATTTAAGGAACAAGAAACTCATTTCTATGCTTCTTGCTCTGAAAGGTGCCTCTGAAGATATATGGAGAGATGGTCTATTTACACATATATACAATCCGAGCCTGAGAGGGAGGTGTCAACATGGTGTCCTCCAGATCTTGTTGAACTACAGAACCCATCACCCCTGACCATTGGTCATGCTGGCTGGGGCTGATGGGAGATGTAGTGCAAAAAAAGGCTAGAAGACACCAGATTGGCTATGCTGAAAAGAAAACTTGCATAAGTGTTTCTCTTGCTTTCATTCAAACGTGCAACACTATTTCAAGGAACCATTTAAGGATATCCAATATCTCTTCATTTAGATAGTGGG